TTTACTCATTTTTTTCAAAATTATTTTCAATTTTATCTATAATCTATTTTTTCTATAAATTCAACAAAAAAATTAAAATAAATTAATTTAAAAAAATATTTTTTTATATATTTAAGGTATTAAAATTAATACCAAACTAAATTTCAGGTCCGGGTATTATAAGTATAATTTGAATAGTTGTATATTTTAACATGAGATTAAAGATTTGAAAGTAATCAACATTATGTTATGAATGAAATACCTTACCAAGTCATATATTATATTTACCAGTAGGGTCATAATTATATTTTTTTGATTATTTTAAAACTCATTTACAACTGAAAAATTAGTTATCGAAATTTGATACTCGTTACAATTTAATTTATAATATTTTTTTGTTATAATTTAGTCACCTATATTTTATATTTATTTTAAACGCTAAATTATTTATACTTTTTTTTAAAGTTCGCAAATAGATATATATATAGATATATATATATATTTGAATGATTTAAAAAATAGTTTAAAAAATAATTTCACTAATTAATTAAATTAATAAACAATAAAAAACAACTTTTTCTCTCTAGTTTTTTATTTAATTAACAAAATCATATTTTGAATTGCTTTCAAAATGTACAAACATAACATAATCATTTTAAGTCTTTTTCATTACGTAATTAAAAAAAATTAGCATATAAAACAAATAAAAGATGTTATGAGAATAAATTTTATTAAGAATTAAATTCTAATAATATTAAAATTTAGAAATTAATTTAATAATTTATTCTATATTCCTAATAAGTACACTAAAACTTCTCTAAAAGAAGCTCATGTAAAATAGGTTGCTAAGTGCTTGATGGTAAAATAATTTGTTTTTGGGTTTAAATATTATTATTTTATCACCATATTACAATTTGATGAACGTGTTGCGAGTGTTATTTTGTGCTTGAGGTGAGATATAAGTAAATCAATTTATTTGGAGATGTATCTTTTTGAACAACTAAATTAAATAAACATTTAATCTTTAAAAATAAGTCAAATCAATATTTATTATTATTATTATTATTATTTTTGACTGAATCAACGATTGACTTAATATTTCTTCGTTTTCCTTTTTTTTTTTTTTTTTTTTTTGAGAATTGGGTTAAATACGAAATCATATTAACATAATTTTTTTAATTAACAAACTAATTGGTAATTACAATTTTTAAAGGTGTAATGATATACTCTCATTTAAAACACAGCCAAGCCGCTACCGGTTTATTTTTATTCTTCGTTTATTTTTTTAAGGAATTAGGATTAGCGGGTATTTTTAAACCGAAGAAAATAAAATAGAGAGGTATTTTTAATTATTTTTTAAAATTAAAAACTAAAAATTACGTGTCAAACTTTTGGATGATTTTGACTCGGCGGAGCCACCGGAGAGAGAAAGTTTTTCGTTCTTTACAATATTCATTGACGATAAGAAATTAAATTAACCCAAAAAAATTAATAAAAGATTGGGAAAACACAATTTCATTTCTGAAATGAATTCCATTTGCATTTGAGTTTCATTTCAAGGCTCCTTCCTCTCAAATTTTCTTTTCTTTTTTTTCGTTGTGTATTTTTCTTTTTTTTTTTTTCTTTTTTTTTTTTTAACTCACAGCGAGAAAAGCCGTTGATATAATACAAAATTACGTAATTTCTGAAGTTTTTCCTCGCATCTCTACATTTCTCAGCAAGCGAGATAGAGAGGAACAGCGAGTGATGTTAGATAGATCGAGAACGAGGCCAGCCCGATCTGCAAGACCAAACCCTAACCCTAGCAACTTCCTCCACAGATCGATTTCGATAATCGTTTGATTGCCTTTTCCTTGGGGAAAGACAGATATTGGAAGGAAGGAACGCCAAGGAGGAGGGATCGGTGACTGTAGGATCGAAGGGAGGATGCCGGCGCACGGGGATCTGGACCGTCAGATCGAGCAGCTGATGGATTGCAAGCCGCTCTCAGAGTCGGAGGTGAAGACGCTCTGCGATCAGGCAAGGGCGATTTTGGTGGAGGAGTGGAACGTGCAGCCCGTCAAGTGCCCCGTCACCGTTTGTGGTGATATTCATGGCCAGTTCTATGATCTCATCGAGCTCTTCAGGATTGGCGGCAACGCCCCTGACACCAACTATCTCTTCATGGGCGATTATGTAGGTATGTCGCTTACTCTATTTTGTAATGACAATTTCATTGCTTTTGAATTCTTTTTCCCTTTAACTTGATTCTTTTTGTAATCTTTCATTGTTAAGCCAATCCTGAAGATCTTTTCAGTGGATCTATGATACTGTTTTTGTTGTTTTCAAAATTTTTAGGATATTTCTTTTGTCAAGGTGTTGGCTAAATCTGCTTTATCTGTCTGATTAATCGACAATTAGTTTATGGCTTTATTTTCCCTCAATTTGGATCTACTGCAACTTTTGTTAACTTAATTAGCGTATTACTTCTAATTACTCTTACAGGATTGTCTTCACTGCTATAGTTTATAAGCGCCGTAGCATTTTTACTTTTAAACGTTATACTTGCACTGCGAAGAAGATTATGTGGGTTGGTGTCATACTTCATACTAACTCTTTAGGTTGACTCCAAATCGGTCTAGTTTTTCTCCTTTCTATATATTTTTATGATTTATGGAATTTCTATTGACTGGACCTGGCTCAACCATGCCTGAGGCAAACCCATAATCATGCATATGATTAATTGCCTTCAAATTTTAGATTATTTTCTCTTTCTGATTACGAATCACAAAGTAGCAAGCAGTGCAAATTTTCTAATACTGTTTAATGGTTTGAGTTAATGAACGTCCTAGCATCTTCTCATCATCTTGGTTACATGTATGCAGATCGTGGATACTATTCAGTGGAGACAGTAACACTCTTAGTGGCTCTGAAGGTTCGTTACAGGGACAGAATTACAATCCTTAGAGGGAATCATGAGAGCCGACAAATTACGCAAGTGTAAGATTTTCCTTATAGACTGGGTTTCTCATCATTTCTGGAAATGTAAAGTCCTGTACTGGTCTAAGGAATAAGGAGTTCTTATTAGTTCTTGTGAACCAGGTTCTGTTTCTATCCTATATGTAAAGTCTCTATTGATTTACTTGCAAGGTCTTAGGAGTTAGGAGTCATGTCATGGTGAATGAATTGAAATAACGCCGTGAATTATGTGTTTTAGTAGGATATCTTTGATATCATGAGTTGAGAGTTACTGGATATGTCTTATATTCAGTGTATTTCACCTCCTTTCTGTCGCTATCCATAATGGAATGGAACACTTGCCAGTTTATATGACTGTACCACTGAAATAGAGTGTTAGCTCCTATTTCTTATTGAATTAACC